AGTTCAGTTCTAGTTCAGTTCTAGTTCAGTTCTAGTTCAGTTCTAGTTCAGTTCTAGTTCAGTTCTAGTTCAGTTCTAGTTCAGTTCTAGTTCAGTTCTAGTTCAGTTCTAGTTCAGTTCTAGTTCTAGTTCAGTTCTAGTTCAGTTCTAGTTCAGTTCTAGTTCAGTTCAAGTTCTAGATCAGTTCTAGTTAAGATCACATTTCATGTCCATTGAATAGTCCATAATAGTTGGGAACACCTGACAACTTTTTCCGATTAGTTATTTTATAACCTTTTAACAGATTTCTTTGTGGCTAACTTTCTTCTAATTAAATCCTTTTTAACTCATAGCAAAACTCTTAAACCACAAAACAAAGAGGGAAATTCAAAATATGTTGATATTAAGTAAATTAAACGAAGCTAATCGAGTCTATAACATTTAATTGGTTTAATTAATAGTTTATTTGTTTTCATCATGCTAGCACTGGGTACTTTTGCTCGTATTGCTATTGTGATAAATATTTGGTTTAAAATTTTTGTTTTTACTTTTTAATATTCTGTAGAGGTTGCAATTGAAGTAAACCTCTTTAGTTAAGGGTTAACTAAAGGTTACACTCTTGACAATTTTTATGAGACCTTAACAAGATTCGTTTAATTTTCCAAAAACTAAAAATTCACCAAAAAAAAAAACTCTTAAAAAAAGCAACAGAAACTGTAACATCTACACTTAAACGAATCATCAACAACATCCGTTTCTCACCGCCCTGTCTAAATATAATCGTTGTCATCAGTGTACGTTCCATAAAATGCCCCTTTCTCTCCGAACCTACAAACGAAATGTGTATTTTGTGTTGTCGTACAAACTCATAAATGTGGTTTTTGATCAAAGCGGTAAGGGAAAGGGGTTAAAGTACATACAAATTTTAATGTTATGGGTTAAAATTTTTTCCGGGTGTTTTTGGATGGTGCCGTTGAAACTTTTACCCTTTCTCTAAAAGTGTGCCTGTATGTGCATTACTTGGTAATGTCATTGTCATTGTTGTAGCTGCTGATGTTGTTACTTGTTGTCGTCGTCATCATCATCGTCGTTGTTGTTGTGTAATAATATTTACTATGACTGCAGTATAGCAGTTTTGAAATATACAACAGCAACTTTTATCACAGAAAAAAAAAAAAAAAATGGACTGACTGTGTAACTATGTATCTATCTACATATCTATTGGAGGAAGAGGTTTAGGGGCACAGTCAGAGTGCCAAAAGGATAGTTGTAGTACGAAGTAGTTGCAAAAATGATGATGACAATAACACTCAAAAGCAATGGCTGTGGCTGCTACAAAATATATGTTGTATAAATGTTTGCAACATTATTTTTTTTTTGATATTCTTCCTCAATTTTTTGCTGCATTGAAATAATGGCAACATTTTAAACATTACGTGCTTAAACGTAACAACAAGGACAACAACTATAACAGCAACATGAACATCAAAAAAAAAAAAAAAAAAATGTGAACAACAAGCATCATCAACAGCAACAACCACCAGCAGCACTATCACCATCATCATCTCCACCATCACTCGTAGATGTTTAAAATGTTGTTTCGTTGGTTGAATTGTTTGTTTGCTTGTTATAGTTAAAATTTTACGGATCTGTATCACTCTTCTCCTACTGATGATGTTCACAAGGTTAATAATAATGAAGATCAGGGATGGCAAAATTGGTACGATGGTACTTTTTTTGATACTATTTGATGTTCAAAAGTACCGTTGTACTCCCGAGTCTTATTTGATACTCTCAGGGCCACAATCACAATATCCGATTGTCGTTTAACAGATAGATAAAGAATTTTTGTATGAAAACCTTTAATATATCGTTTCGATAAAAAAATAACAGGTTAAAGTATATTTAAAATTTCAAATTTTAAATTCCAAAATGCGCTAAAACATTGTTATATAAAATTCTCAAAAGTGCATCAACTAAAAGCCGTTAAAAAAAAAAAAAAAAAAAATGATAATAAAATTATAAACGACTAATAAAGTTGTACATATTTTTATCTTGATTGACATTATATGAATATTAATCTTATTAAAATTTCATTCTTAATATTTTATGAGAAAATTACCAGAAATTTAAATTTTGAAATAATATTTGACTTTAAAACAAATCATTTCCAAATGATAGGAACTCGAAGGATTCAATCTACTATAAAGCGATATGTTTTGAAACTAAGCTTTTAACCAAGGATAATATAAGAAGTTTTAGGTCAAAAAAATTTGGACTTTTAAGCAAATTATAGTTTCATGTCATATTCAGAATCGAATGTACAAGTAAATATCCTATTTAAGGTCCCACGTAGCATTAAGTTGAAATTCTAAATTCGTCCTTTTACAGGGCGAAATGTAGCCTGGTTTTAATTAATGCCGGATTTATTAAAATATAATAAATTATATCATGACAGCTTTAAATTTAAGATATTTACATAGTACAATATCTGCCCAATATTTGAGATGTAAAAGGTGAACATTGAGGGACTGACAAGGATTCAACATATTAACATATAATGCCTTTCTACTTCCGTTATGGATTGTTTAAAAAAATTAAATGTAGTTAAGAAATTGCCATCATTTAGCAAAAAAAATATTTTAGTACTTTGAGATCCAAAAAAGTACCCTCTGAAATATTTTTTGATACTGACACAAAATCTCATTTTCCATCCCTGATGAAGATGATGATGATAATGTTGAATATGATGATGATTTCGGCTTTTTGGTTCACGCTTAATACGGACAAAAAAAACATGCATTAATTTTGATACGCTTTATTTGAATAGGGGAACAAAAATATACATAATTGATCCAGAACTGATCGAGAACTGAACTAGAACTGAACTAGACTGAACTAGAACTGAACTAGAACTGAACTAGAACTGAACTAGAACTAGAACTGAACTAGAACTGAAACTAGAACTGAACTAGAACTGAACTAGAACTGAACTAGAACTGAACTAGAACTGAACTAGAACTGAACTAGAACTGAACTAGAACTGAACTAGAACTGAACTAGAACTGAACTAGAACTGAACTAGAACTGAACTAGAACTGAACTAGAACTGAACTAGAAACTGAACTAGAACTGACTAGAACTGAACTAAACTGAACTAGAACTGAAACTAGAACTGAACTAAGAACTGAACTAGAACTGAACTACGACACTGAACTAGAACTGAACTAGAACTGAACTAGAACAGAACTACTAACAGAACTATAACAGAACTAGAACAGAACTAGAACAGAACTAGAACAGAACTAGAACTGAACTAGAACATAACTAGAACAGAACTAGAACAGAACTAGAACAGAACTAGAACAGAACTAGAACAGAACTAGAACAGAATTAGAACAGAACTAGAACAGAACTAGAACAGAACTAGAACAGAACTAGAACAGAACTAGAACAGAACTAGAACAGAACTAGAACAGAAACTAGAACAGAACTAGAAAGAACTAGAACAGAACTAGAACAGAACTAGAACAGAACTAGAACAGAACTAGAACAGAACTAGAACAGAACTAGAACAGAACTAGAACAGAACATAGAACAGAACTAGAACAGAACTAGAACAGAACTAGAACAGAACTAGACAGAACTAGAACAGAACTAGAACAGAACTAGAACAGAACTAGAACAGAACTAGAACAGAACTAGAACATAACTAGAACATAACTAGAACAGAACTAGAACAGAACTAGAACAGAACTAGAACAGAACTAGAACAGAACTAGAACAGAACTAGAACAGAACTAGAACAGAACTAGAACAGAACTAGAACAGAACTAGAACAGAACTAGAACAGAACTAGAACAGAACTAGAACAGAACTAGAACAGAACTAGAACAGAACTAGAACAGAACTAGAACAGAACTAGAACAGAACTAGAACAGAACTAGAACAGAACTAGAACAGAACTAGAACAGAACTAGAACAGAACTAGAACAGAACTAGAACAGAACTAGAACAGAACTAGAACAGAACTAGAACAGAACTAGAACAGAACTAGAACAGAACTAGAACAGAACTAGAACAGAACTAGAACAGAACTAGAACAGAACTAGAACAGAACTAGAACAGAACTAGAACAGAACTAGAACAGAACTAGAACAGAACTAGAACAGAACTAGAAACAGAACTAGAACAGAACTAGAACAGAACTAAAACAGAACTAGAACTAGAACAGAACTAGAACAGAACTAGAACAGAACTAGAACAGAACTAGAACAGAACTAGAACAGAACTAGAACAGAACTAGAACAGAACTAGAACAGAACTAGAACAGAACTAGAACAGAACTAGAACAGAACTAGAACAGAACTAGAACAGAACTAGAACAGAACTAGAACAGAACTAGAACAGAACTAGAACAGAACTAGAACAGAACTAGAACAGAACTAGAACAGAACTAGAACAGAACTAGAACAGAACTAGAACAGAACTAGAACAGAACTAGAACAGAACTAGAGCAGAACTAGAACAGAACTAGAACTAGAACAGAACTAAAACAGAACAGAACAGAACTAGAACAGAACTAGAACAGACTAGAACTGAACTACAACAGAGCTAGTACCGAATTTGAACTAGAATTTTTCACTATTAGAATTCCATAAAGTATAAGAAATCAGCGGAAATCAACATTCAAACACATACACAAAACAAAAAATATGGTTGCTTACACATATAATGTTAAATACAGTCAAAGAGCGGAAGGGGTTTAGAGAGAAGACAGCGGAAAATGTTTTGTAAGTATTTTCGAAAAAAATATCTTGTGTTGGAACGTCCATCCAACGCAAAACGCTAAACCATAAAGCCAACCAAGCAAGAAACATGTTTATTTTTTGTTGAGGATTTAACAATTTTGTTTTGTTTTCTAAAATTTTTTGCTCATTGCTAAAAGTGTTGTGAGCATGGCGAGGGTGTAGGTGGTCGTTGGTGTAAATATAATATTATGCCCGTGTAATGGTACTTACATAGTGCTTGTTCTAACCAAAATTGGTTGACCGAAAAATGCCGGAACATTTTCATCCATTAGTGAATGTGTTTTGATGAAATTTAATGTCGGATCCGGAAGTGTTCGTGAATCATTATGGCATGATCCGGGACGTGGTTCGGGTACCTGTAGAAATAATAAGAGATAATAGTTAAAACATATTTTGATGCGTTGTTAAAAACAAGAAAACAAATATAAATAAAAACTTAAACTTTACTTTAGTTATTATTTAAAGGCAAAAAATATTAACTGATTTTTTTATGGTTGGTTTTCTTTTTGTCTTTGTCAAAATGGCGGAAAATATGTTACTTTTTTTTGCAACTGTCTGTCTGTCTGTCTGTGTTAAATTTTCTGTTATTTTTTTTTATTTTGCACTGCTTCTCCCTTGCTTTTCCCTTTTTTTATCAACTTTTGCTAGTTAAAACGAAAGAGTATAACAATATTTTTTGGCAGTTCCAAAGTTATGTGCTTTTTTCCGCTTATCTTTTGTTTTGGCCTGTCTGTCTGTCTTTCATATTTTTTTGGTTTGAAAATTTATAAATTTTTCTGTCTGCCTTTTAGGGCGGCTTGTTGGTAGTTTGTTTTCCTGCTTTTTTTGCTGGCCCATAAAGTTCTTTTAAGATTTATTATACATTTTTGTAAATTATTGTCATTTGTAAAGTATGTTTTTATAATTTTATTTAACAAATAATTTTATTAAATCAAGGTAAAGCGACATATTTGGTTGTGTATATAAAGGGTAGACAATATAAGTAAAAAGGTTTCCAGGGGTGTCTGGTAGACTTGAAGGAAAACGGAGTCATTTGCCTTCTTAAATTCCTATAAGTATTTAGTGTATATAAATAGATTTTTGAAAGATTATATAGTTTACAGTTTTAGTGCTGGTAGTTTTTATGAAAACTTCCTCATAAGCTATTTAGATTTTTCACGTATGTATGTAGTCTGCCTATTCAAAGAGCTTATTTGCTACTCTCTACCGACAAACTGTTTTAAAGCAATAAAATAAATTTCAAAAGCTTGTTAAAGATTAAACTTTCTATGAACTTCCGATTCAAAGCATTGAAAGCTTTTCAAAAGAGTTTTAAGGCACGTATCTGTAAAGCTCTTGCTTGAACTTTTAGGTAGACATCTTACATAAGACAAGCTTAAAGATTACTAGAACACTTTTAGGAAAGTTTACATAAAATAATAATCTTTAATAAGGCTTAACAAAAAGTTTTAAGAAAATTTATTTAAAATTTTTAAGACGGCTTACAAGAAAGCTTCCAAAAATGCATTAATTAAAGCTTACAAAAAGCTTTAAAACAAACAAAAAATCACAATAAATTACAATAAAGCCTTCAAGAAATCTTTCAAAAAAGCTTTCAAGAAAGCTTTTAATAAAGCTTAGAAAATATATTTTAAGAAACTTGCCAACAACAATATTAATAGAGCTTATAAAAAGCTTACAAAAATCTTAAAAAAACTTTCAGGAAAGCTTCCAAACAGGGTTTTATTAAAGTATTAAAAAATCATAATAAATTACAATAAAACTTTAAAAAAAGCTATTTTTAAAAAAGCTTAGAAAGTAGATTTTAAGAAAGTTTCCAAAAAACGATATTAATAGAACTTACAAAAAAAGCCTTTTAAGAGAGCTTGAAAAAAAACTTTCAAGAAAGCTTCTAAAAATGCTTTTACTAAAGCTTTCAATATGCTTACAATAAAGTTTTCAAGAAATGTTTCCAAAAAGCTTACAAACTTTCCAAAAACGATATTAAGAGAGCTTACCAAAATGCATTTTATGAAAGCTTACAAAAAGAGCTTTTATAAAATCTTACTAGAAACTAGAAACATTAAAACATTAGAAAAATTACAATAAAACTTATAAAAAAAAGCTATTTTTAAAAAAGCTTAAAAAGTAGACTTTAAGAAAGTTTCCAAAAACGATATTAATAAAACTTACAAAAAAAGCTTGAAAAAAAAAAATTTAAGCAAGCTTCTAAAAATGCTTTTACTTAAGCTTTCAATATGCTTATAATAAAGTTTTCAAGAAATGTTTCCAAAAAGCTTACAAACTTTCCAAAAACGATATTAAGAGAGCTTACCAAAATGCATTTTATGAAAGCTTAAAAAAAAGATTTTATAAAACCTTACAAAAAAGCTTCTAAGATTTTTTTAGAACTGTTTAATGATTACTAGAAAAGACTAAAGAAGACTAAATTACAATAAAGCTTTCAAGATAGCTTTAAATAAATTTTTATAAATTTAAGAAGACTGTCAACAGAGCTTAAAAACTTTTAAGAAAACGTACCAAGAAGCTTCAAAAAAATGTAAGAAACTTATAAAGAAGCTTTCAATAAACTTGATTTATATGTTTTCTAAAGGAAATTAAACCAATTTGTTTAAATTTCCCCAACGTAAAAGTTCTATTTCTTTGACACCGAAAAGCTTTTGAAATTTAGTTTTTTCTTTGCTGAGTTACTTTTTATTTGTCTGCACGTACTATGTATGTATCTATGTAAGTATGTATGTAATGATACATTTCGTTACCTTATAAAATCTTTATATAACTCACTACTATAAAAATCTTTTTTAATTAACTTTGACCCACTTTATTTTTATCATAAACAACTGCAAAAGAAATAAAACTAATTTCAACACCCTACAAAGACCAAACAACCCCCTTGATTAACGAATGTTTTAGGGCATAAATAAACCAGACTGTGCAAATATGTTTAATGCAAAGGACTTTTTTTATGCATAAAATAATCAAAAAAGGAAATAAAATTTTTAACATAAAATTAATGAAAAAAAAGACATTAAACTTATAAATAAAACCCTTTATTTAACAGTTAGTTAATCCTTCCTAAAGAAATTTAATATTTTTAAATGCTTAACTTAAAAAAATTAACAACAATTTTCTGACTATCAGTCATTTGTTTGATTTGAGTTGTTTATTTTTTAATTTTCATATCTTTTCATTTACCTTGGCATTATTGACCGGCAGCCAATTAGAGTTGATGCCACTTTGTTCCTTAAAACTGCCCTCAAATGTATCCGCAATATCCTGCAATAAGAAGAAAAAAATATTTGTGAAAAAGGAGTAAAATGGGTTGTAAAAAAGTCAAAAAATTTGTTTTAATAAATTTAATGGAAGTCTACCCCAAAAAAAATTCTTATAGAAATACATACATATGTATGTATAAAAATATACATATCGTCGATGTACCTAGCAACGGGCTAGATGTTACAGTATTTATGTATTTTATTATGTTGACATTTTATGAATAACAAAAATACCAAGATAATCCACTCATTTTAAGCATGTTGAACCATTTTGTCGTTGCATCAACGATATGTTTTATATAATTCAAAAAATAATGTTAAAAAAACAAAATGGAGTATAAGTGAAGAGAGTTGTTATAAAACAGACTAAAGTAATTTCAATTTGATGTAGTAAGTAAATAGATAAAGGGTGTGGACTACTTGATTAGGGGGAACATTTTAAGTCCAAGTCCATCCATTTTGGGGAATATTTTAAGTCCATCTCCTCTATAAAAACAAGATCAGCCTATATACTTGACTATAGGCCAGTCTTTAGATCAATCCATGTCTGGACTAAATAAATGTCTATAGCCTGGACTATTGTCTGAGCTATTGCTCAGTTTATAGTCTATAATCCGGGATATAAATTGTGGGATAGTCTGAACTATAATCCTGTTTATAACAGTCTACTGTCTGGACTATATATCAATCTATACTCAGGACTATATATTAATTTATACTCTAGACTACATTCTATAGTCTTCATTATAGACCAGTCTATAGTCCTGACAAGATTTAGTCTGGACTTATTCTATGGCCTTGACTATAGATTAGTCTACAGTCTTAAATATAGATCAGTCTATAGTGTTGACTATAGATCAGTCTATAGTTTTGACTATAGGTCAGACTACAGTCTTGATGATAGATCAGTCTATACGCTATGTAGATCTATAGATCATATTCTTGACTAAGGCCTTGGCTATAGATCAGTCGATAGTCTAGAATGGTCTATAGTCTTGACTATAGATTATTGACATATTTACAGTCTTGATGATAAATCAGTTTTTTTTTATATAGTTTTTTTACAATTGTTTTGACTAGGTCAGTCTATAGGCTATATAGATCTATAAATCAGTATATAGTCTTGACAATAGATCCGTCAATAGTTTTGACTATAGATTAGTCTATAGTCTTGACTATAGGTCAGTCTATAGTATTGACTATAGATCAGACAACAGTCTTGACTATAGATCAGTCAGTAGTCTTGATTATAGATCAGTCTACAGTATTGACTATAGATCAGTCTATAGTATTGACTATGGATCAGTCTATAGTCTTGACTAGAGATCTGTCCATAGTCTTGACTATACGTTAGTCTATAATATTGACTATAGATCAGTCTATAGTCTATAGATCAGTCTATAGTCTTGAATATAGATCAGTCTATAGTCTTGACTATAGATCATTCTATAGTCTGGGCTATAGATAAGTCTATAGTCTCGACTATAGATAAGTCTGGACTATAGATATAGTCTTGACTATAGATCAGTCTATGTCTTGACTAGAGATCAGTCTATAGTCTTGACTATGGATCAGTTTATAGTCTTGACTAGAGATCAGTCTATAGTCTTGACTATACGTCAGTCTATAATATTGACTATAGATCAGTCTATAGTCTTGACTATAGATCAGTCTATAGTCTTGACTATAGATCAGTCTATAGTCTTGACTATAGATTAGTCTATGGTCTTGACTATAGATCAATCTATAGTCTTAATTATAGATCAGTCTATTATCAGTCTACAATCTTAACTATAGAAAAGTCTATGGACTATAGTTTAGTCTATGGTCTTGACTGTAGATCAGTCTGTAGTCTTAACTTTAGTCTTGCCTATATATTAGTCTGGCTATAGATGGTTGGTTGTACACACCCTGTTTATATTTATATAAGTGCCAGTATAAGAGATGAATGAAAACTTGAGTAGACTAGTAAAAGGATATACGAACAAAAAAATAACAATCCCCAAATAATAAAAAAAATACAACACCGAAATACAACGATAAAAACCTATAACCAACTTACCTGCAATGAAAATGCACAAACTGCTGAGCCAGGAATTGAATTTGTTGGTGTATTAAAAACGCCATAAATCAATTTGGCGCTTGAGTGACCATAATGTCCTTCGACAAGATTACTAGCAGATTCTATATTAAAAAAGAAAGAATGAAAAAAAGATAAACAAAAAGTAATTACAATAAAACAGTAACGCCAAATAAATATTCTTATAGAAATAATAAAACGATTTTTTTGTCGTTATAATATAAATTAATTTAAAGCTTAAGCGTTAAGGGGAAAATTATAATAATGTTAGCTTTTCATTACTTACGTATTTCATTGAAGTAGAAGGGATAATCGCCAGGTATGGAACAATTTAAACGTGACTTTAAAAATGAAGTCCAACGATTGCGGAAACGATGTGGTCCACCCTTGTCCCATTTACAAACACGTGCCACACGCGAAAATATAGACTAGAAGTAAGAGAATGAAATAGTTAAGAGAGAAAGAGAGAAAAATAATATTACTAAAGTTTTTTTCGAGGGTAATTAATCAAGTTGTTTTAATGGTATAGAGGGGGAAATGGGAAGGAATTTTTTTTTTATTTATATTTTGCAAATAAAAGTTTTGCTTAACTTGAAAGTTGTAAATTATTTATTGACCAAAAAGTTTTTACTATTTATAATAAATTTATTTTTGTTTTTATTATTTATAGTTGTTTATTTTATTAATGCGTTAAATATTTACACTTAAAAACAGTTATTTCCTGTTAACTGGAAAAAAATACCTTTAAGGGTTTAAATGGCCTCATAAATAAGGTAAATAAATGGTGGCAAACTTAGTTTAACAGTTTTATTGTTTGTTAAAGTTTAACTAAAGTTTTCTTTTTAACTTGACATAGTTTTATTAAAGTTTAGGAAAACTTTTATGGAAAACAAGAAAAAGGGCGACAAAGTTTAAAAAAGTTTTGATAAATGTATAATGTTTAACTCTTAGTTAATAAGAGTTTAAGTAAACTAAGATTACTTATTATTAAACTAGTTATTGCTAAACAAATTAGCTTTCATACTGAGAGCTTTATAGCTTTAGGAGAATGTCGTAGTTTCCCACTTTAAAACATATTTATTTGAAATGTTTTAAACTTAAGTTAACAACAGTTTATCTGAACTTGGATTAAACTACTAGTGAACATAATTTATTTGAAGTTTATAGAAAAAGAAAGAGCTTAAAGCTCTTCATTGTTTACTTTGACACTGTTTAGCTTAAAAAAAACTATCGGTTAACTAAGCTTAGATTACTAACTCAAGGAAAGAGAGCTTTTAAGCTTATATATAGTCAAATATTTATGTTTTAATTTATGTTCTAATTTAAATAGAATTTTAAATGATTTAGCTTTATCATGAGCTTTCAATCTATACTACAAATGTTTTACATATTTCAGCATTTATTGAACTCAATAAAACCCATTTTTAACGATCCCATTTCAGCTTGAATGTTCATTATAATCAAAGGTTATGTTAACCATTATATAGGCCTAGTAAAAAAGCATTAAATTTTTATTCAACCTTAAACGCTTTTGCCATCAACAGCAAGAGCCAAAAAAAACGAAGGTTTATGTTTAGCCATCATCATCATTTATAACTTTTAATTATGACTTTTTTATACTTTATGTCTATGAGCGTTATGAAATATGTTTAAGGGCCCCCCCAAAAAAGATATTTTATGTTACTGCCTGTTATTATTTTTTTTTTTGGCCAAGGACAAAAGCCATTTAGGTTTTTAGTAATAAGGATTTTGTGTTTTTTATTTATATACATTAACTACTTACTTTTCCACAATTTATATATTCCACCGCTGTTTCACGAAATAAGAAATATACAAAATCGCCCTGGGTAAAAGAGCTAACAAAATTTGGTGCTGTAAAATGAAAAAAGAAGAAAAATATAAGTTACATATAAGAAAATTTCAGAAAAAATGTGTAATATTTATTGGTTAAAAGTCTTTTTAATGATAGTTAAAGTGAAAATAATATGAAATTTATATGACAATGACAAAACAATAAAAAGGACTAAGTTTTTCTAACATATTACCTATATATATATATACATATATATCTTTTGGGTCAAAAAGCAGAGATTCCGTACAAACTTTTAGACTACAGACTGATATATAGTTAAGACGAAATGTATAAAGTGATGACAATAGACTGATCTATAGTCAAGACTATAGACTGATCTACAGTTAAGACTATAGACTGATTTATAGTCAAGATTATAGACTGATCTATAGTCATGACTATAGACTACCTATAGCCAAGACTATAGACTGATCTATAGTCAAGACTATAGACTGATCTATACACAAGACTATAGTCTGATCCATACACAAGACTATTGACTGATTTATAGTCAAGACTATAGACTGATCTATAGTCAGCACTATACTGTTCTATAGCCAAGACTATAGACTGCTCTATAGTCATGACTATAGACTGATCTATAGTCAATACTATAGACTCATCTATAGTCAAGACTATAGACTGATCTGTAGTCAAGACTACATACTGATCCATAGTCAAGACTACATACTGATCTATAGTCACGACTATAGACTGATCTATAGTCAAGACTATAGACTGATCTATAGTCAAGACTACATACTGATCTATAGTCACGACTATAGACCGATCTATAGTCAAGACTATAGACTGATCTATAGTAAAGACTATAGACTGATCTATAGTCAAGACTATAGACTGATTTATAGTCAATACTATAAACCGATGTATAGTCAAAACTGTAAACTATCTATAGACAAGACTATAGAATGATCTATAGTCAAGACTATAAACTGATCTATAGTCAAGATCTATACATAAGACTATTGACTGATCTATAGTCACGACTATATAGACTGATCTATAGTTAAGATCTATAGTCAACAGACTAATTTATAGTCAAGACTATAGACTGATCTGTAGTCAAGACTATAGACTGATCTATAGTCAAGACTATAGACTGATATATAGTCAAAACTATAGACCGTTCTATACACAAGACTATAGACTGATCTATAGTAAAGACTATAGACTGATCTATAGTTAAGACTATAGACTGATCAATAGTAAGGACTATAGACTGATATATAGTCAAAACTATAGACTGTTCTATACACAAGACTATAGACTAATCTATAGTAAAGACCATAGACTGATCTATAGTTAAGACTATAGATTGATCTATAGTAAAGACTATATACTGATCTATAGCCAACACTATAGATTGATCTATAGTCAAGACTATAGACTGATCTGCAGTCAAGACTATAGACTGATCTATAGTCCAGACTATTGACTGATCTATAGTCAAGACTGTAGACTGATTTATAGTCAAGACTAAAGACTGATCTATAGTCAAGACTAAAGATTGATCTATTGTCAAGACTATAGGCTGATCTATAGTCAAGACCATAGACTGATCCTTAGTGAAGACTATAGACTGATCTATAGTCAAGACAATAAACTGATCAATAGTCTAGACTATAGACTGATCTATAGTGAAGAATAAAGACTGGTTTACTGTGATCTATAGTCAAGACTATAGAGTGATCTATAGTCAAGACTATAGACTGATCTATAGTCGAGACTTTAAACTGATCTATTGTCGAGACTATAAACTGATCTATAGTCAAGAGTATAAACTGATCTATAGGCTGATCTACAGTGAAGACTATAGACTGATCCATAGTCAAGACTATAGACTGATCCATAGTCAAGATTATAGACTGATCCATAGTCAAGTCTATAGTCAGGAGTATAAACTGATCTATATTGCAGACTTATAAACTGATTAATAGTCAAGACTATAGATTGATCTATTGTCAAGACTAGAGACTGTTCTATAGTCAAGACTATGGACTGATCTATAGTCAAGACTATAGACTGATCTATAGTCAAGACTATAGTCTGATCTATACTCAGGACTATTGAATGATCTATAGTCAAGACTATAGACTGATCTATAGTAAAGACTAAAGACTGATCTATAGTCTTGACTATAGATTAGAATATTTTAGACCGAGCTACAGTCAAGGCTATAGACTGATCCATAGTCAAGACTATAGACTAATCTATAGCGAGGACTATAAACTGATCTATAGTTGAGACTATTGACTGATCTATATATCAGACTGTGGTATAATCGATACAATATTTTGATCTGTAAATCGAACAATATATTAAGCTATAGTTCAGACTATAGTCTAATCTAAACTGCAGATCATTATAGTTTTATGGTTAGCATTTTACACTGATCTATAGGTACAGTTCTGATCTGACTATAATATATTCACATCGATTTCTTTTTATAGAATTCCAGTAAAATCCACTAAAAATTCCAATACGCTTGGGAATCTCTGAATTTTTTGTTCAAACATTTTGTTTATTTAGCAAAACTTTTTTTTGCCAATATTACTCTAATGATTAATTTAATTTATGACCATGAAAATGTAAATATTTCTTGCATGACTTACGTACAATGTTCTCCTGAATCCCCCCTTCCCAAAAATACATGAATATATTTTATTAATAAATAAATATATAAATGTTAATCTGATATACACTTATATTTATCTAATTATAACTAATAATTTTGATTTATTTGATGGTTGGTTAACCAAATAATAACAAATAAAACTAATAAAATATAAATAACACAATTTTGTGGTCATTTCATTTGAGTCTGTACTTTTTTTTTTTGCAATTATTCATATATTGACATTTTGATTAGAAATTTATTATGTAATGAAATAAAATATATGATAAATATTTATGTTTGTAATTAGTTTCATTAATAAATTTATTTTATTAATAAATTTAAATAGAAAATGATTAGAAAATTGTGAACAGGAATGATTTGAGATCTTCTTTAGCTTTAAGTAAACTGGATATTTATTAACTATATGTTATAATAATGGGTAAAATACTCTCTCAACTAAATAAATACGCGTTAAACTATATATTAAGCCTCTGCAGTATGAATTTATCACTCCCTTTAAATATTGATTTAAGGAAATAAAAAAAAAACGTTAAAGAAAAACAATTTATATTTATAACAAAAATCTGTTTATTTATCAATCGAATATAGTATCTCAAGAAAGCTGCTGGCATTTTATACTAAATCCATCATTGTCATCAAAATCATGATTGTGAAAATCTTTACAATCTCTTGCCTAGTCACACTATACATACATCTAAATATATATAGTAGACTTTAACACTTTATGTGTGTTTTCTATCAATGTCAGAAAAGTTTTAAATTTCAAATATTGTAAATAACAAAATAATAACAAACAAACAAACAACTAAATAAATAAATATGTTTTATATTTGTAAGTAAAGGAAAATATTTATAAAATGTTTTGTCTGGCTGGCAAAATAACGTTTACGTTGAAAAGACTGGCAGATGGGGAGATACTGTGAGAGCTATGAAAATATACTTGTTTTTATGCCACTTTTAAAATTGACAGCAGTTTTTTGAAATAATAGTAAGAGCTAATACTTTACACTACCAGTACTACACTATTTCGTAATCAACTTCAGATAATACGAAATATACATATTTACTTATAGTCCAGACTATAAACTTATCTATAATCCAGGCTATAAACAGATCTGCAGTTCAGACTATAGACTGATCTATAGTCCAGTCTATAGACCGGTCCATAGTCTACGCTATAGACAGATCCATAGTCTAGGCTATAGAATGATCCACAGTCCAGACTATAGACTGATCTATAGTCCAGACTATTGATTTATCTATAGTCCAGACTATGGATTGATCTATAGTCCAGACAGTACATAGACTGATCTATAGTCCAGGCTATAGACTGATCTATAGTCTAGACTATATATTTATCTCTAGAACAGACTATGGATTGATCTATAGTCCAGACTATAGACTGATCTATAGTCCAGACTATAGACTGATCTATAGTCCAGACTATAGACTGATCTATAGTCCAGACTATAGACTGATCTATAGTCCAGACTATAGACTGATCTATAGTCCAGACTATATACTGATCTATAGTCAAGACTATAGACTGATTCATAGTCCAGACTATAGACTGATCTATAGTCCAGACTATAGACTGATCATTAGCCCAGACTATAGACTGATCTATTTCCAGACTATAGACTGATTTATAGTTCAGACTATAGACTGAACTATAGTCCAGACTATAGACTGATCTATAGTCCAGACTATAGACTGATCTATAGTCCAGACTATAGACTGATCTATAGTCCAGACTATAGACTGATCTATAGTCCAGACTATAGACTGATCTATAGTCCAGACTATAGACCGATCTATAGTCCAGACTATAGACCGATCTATAGACTCGACTATAGACTGATGTATAGTCCAGACTATAAACAGATCTTTACTTCAGAATATAGTCTGATTTAAAATCACTCTCTACTATAGAGTAATCTATAGTCTTGACTATAGACTGGTCTATAGACTCGACTATAGATTGATGTATAGTCACGACAATGGACTGATCTTTAGTCTCGACTACTGACTGATCTATAGTCTCGACTATAGACTGATCTATATTCTCGACTATAGACTAATCTATATGCTGACTATAGACTGATTTCATGTCTAGACTATAAATAGATCTACAGTTCAAACTATAGTCTGATTTGTAATCAAGTCTATAATCTCCTCTATAGTCCAGAGTGTAGAGTAATCTATAGTCCAGTCTATAGACTGATCTATACTCCAGTCTATAGACTGATCTATAGTCCATTATATAGATTGATTTATAATCCAAATTGTAGAGTGATATGAAATCAAGACTTCAGACTGCTCTTTAGTACAGACTATAGACTGATCTATAGTAAAGTCTATAGACTGATCTATAGTTCAGTCTATAGACTGATATATAGTCCAGTCTTTGGACTAACCTATAGCCCAGTCTATATTCTCAGCTATAGTCCAGTCTATAGACTGTTCTATAGTCAAGTTTTTAGACTGATCTATAGTCCAGTCTCTAGACTGATCTATAGTCCAGTCTTTAGACTGATCTATAGTCTAGTCTATAGTCCAGTATATAGGATGATCTACAGTCTAGTCTATATACTGGTCTACCGCCTAGACTATAGATTGATCTATAGTCGAGTCTATGTACTGATCTATAGTCGAGACTATGTACTGATCTATTGTTAAAACTACACACTGATCTTTAGTATAGACTATAGACTAATCTGTAGTCAAGATTTTAGATAAATCTGTAGTAAAGACTGGTTTATAGACGAGACCATAGACTGATCTGTAGTGAAGACTTTAAACTGATCCATAGTGCAGACTACTGAATGATGTATATTCAAGACTATATAATGATATAGAGTTGAGTATATTGTGTGATCTGTAATTATTGAATGATCTGTAATTTAGACTAGGCAGACTATAGGCAGATCTATTATATACTGATACTTGTTGTTATTATTCACTTAGAAATGGTGTAATGTGATAAAAAAAACTGCGACAAGAGAATGGCAAAGACATCCTTAAGCTAAGAAATATTAAACTTGTTTGCAGGAAAATATTAACAATATAGTATTTATGGCAACTAAATATAGATAAAAATATAAATGTTATAAATAAATTCTGCCTACTTTTGTTTATGGCTGTTTAAACTGATAATAAAGTTGGAAAGAAATATTTTGTTTTATTTTTGATTATTATAAATGTTGTTGTTGTTGTTGTTTGTTATGTACATTGTCAAAATGACAAATAAATTCAAGTTTTTATTAACATAACTACATGAAATGTATTGTTTAAAGGAATGAGTTAAAATAGCGTTAAACACTGAGAGAAATTGGGGGAAGAGGTCTATAGCTGAAATTTTGATATGCCGCCTAAAATTGTGCAACGAATTTGGTATAAAATTTTCTTTCAGTGTTTTTACCCTTTTTTTGTATCAAATAACAAGTTTGTTTTTATTAAATTTGACAGCCAGTTTAATGTAAATAAAGTAGTATGAGAATTGCACAAATACAATAACAAAAGAATAAAACATATAAATTTATATACAGATATGTATACATATTTGTGATAAATAATGAAGGAATATTATATCAAATGAATGAATAAGCGAACGTACGAATGAGCCAAAAGAATGATATTCATATTTTTGCAATATAAATTGTATAAAAGTATGAAATACAATTTGTAATGTATTTTGTGTAATACAAATAAAAAGAAAATCAAATAAATAAATAAATTATAGAGGAAAGAGAAGAGCACAACACGCACACACACATACATACACAAAAATTTATTGTTTAATTTTTAATAATCATAATAAATAATGAAATAATATGTTTAACAAAATATGTGAATATATGCATGAAAAAAAAAACACGAAAAAGTAGAATTCGCCCCTATAAAAGGAAGGGAAAAAAAAACCAAAGCATACAATAAGGATTTCATGTATAAATGTGTGCGTAATTGTCTGTTTATATAATTTTATTGCAAAAATATATATTTGCTTGTTTGTAGGAAACAAATATATATGTATATTTATCTGTACCACTTACCATTAAGACTTAAGCTATCATATTGCTCTGTTTGTAATGGTTCTCTATAGATAATCGGATCACTGCCACTGAAATCAGCCACTGTGCCCGAATACAATTCATTATCTGCAATGGAGAAAAAACATGGAAAAAAGTTGCTGGTTAGTTAAGTGTAAAGATAAAAAAATTATTATTATTAAATGTGTTTATTGTATAAGGAAAAAAATAAATATTTTGTGGATGTCGAAAAGAAAAAAAAAAAAAAAAAACAGAAGGGATTTTTATGTTTAAAGAAAAAACAACCTTGAGTTACAATATATATATTTTTTTGTTGCCTTAACAAATAGAAAAAAAATTATATCTTATGAGACTTAAATAAACAAATTTTATGAGAAAATATCTTTACTAGGGATTATATATATTTATTTCTTATTGAAAACATCAATATTTTATAATCTAAATGGGGAAAATGTTGTAAGTAGAAATACACTTAGAAAAATTAAAAAAAAAAAACAAGTAAGAAATTCTAGTCGGGCGTGGCCGACCATATGATACCCTACATCAATTGCGAATATTAAATGAGATTCATTTCAATAATGAAGCATTTCTGTTGAATGTTATATAGGTTCCAAATAATGTATGTTCATGTACGATTGTATGCTGACTAGGAGAAATAAAAGACCGATTTAAATCATTTTCAACAGCATTCGTCATTAGATCCAAAGAATAGTATGTGACCCATTTTAACAAATTATATTCAAAATTGCGATCTGTTGCGTGCACACAAGGTTTACACGGTCATAAAGACGGACATAGCTTAATCGAAGCAAAAAGTGATTCTGAACCGAGTGGTATACTTAAGGACAAATATTTTTGAGTGTTACAAACATCAGCATATTGTGCCGACTTTTAGATAGATAGTAGTATATTAGACGTAGTTAAAAGATAAACGGCCGAAGGTCCGGATGTATGGGGATAGGGCAGAAAATTGAGCCGATCCTTATAAAATGTATTATTGGGAATTATCTATATACATATATAAAAATGAATGTGTGTTGTTTGTATGTTTATATGTTTGTGTGTTTGTATGTTTGATCGTTATAGACTACTAAACGGCTATACCGATTTTCTTAAAATTTTCACAGCGTATTCCTGTATTTCTGGCAATAGGCTACTTTTTATTTCCGATCATGGCGAAAATTGACAGTGTTATTTATAATTATATCAAACTTAGTTGTGCCAATTTTTGGGAAGATAGTAGTATATTTGTCGTAGTTATGAGCTAAAAGGCCCGGTTGTATGGGGGCTAGGGCAAAAACTGGTCCGATCCTTATAAAATTTAATGCCGACATTTATGTTTATATAAAATCTATTCGTGGCAAATTTCATCGTGATACTAGTGTTTATAATCGAATTGTGGACATTCAAGTCATTTTTTGAAGGGGATTTTGTATGGGGGATAGGGTGAAATAATGCTCGATCATTATAAAAATCGACAGTGTTATTTATAATTATATCAAACTTAGTTTTGCCGATTTTTGGAGAGATAGTTATATATTCGACAAAGTTATGAGCTAAAAGGACCAAATCGGAAGGTCCGGTTATATGGGGGCTAGAGCAAAACTTGGGCCGATCCCTATAAAATTTATTGTTGAGATTATGTTTACATAAAACTCATTTGTGCCAAATTTCATCGTGATACTATATAAGTAAGTTTTTATAAGTGAGTTGTGGACATTTATAAGTGAGTTGTGGACATTCAAGTCATTTTCTGAGGAGGACTTTGTATGGGGGCTAGGGTCAAATAATGCCCGATCTTTACGAAAATCACTAGAATTATTAAGACATATAAAACTAAATTGTTCCAATTTTTGTAGAGATAGTAGATCATTTAACATAATTATGAGGTCAAAAGCCCTATTGGGGGGGTGCGGTTGTATGGGGCTAGATAAAATAATGGTCCGATTTGAGCCATTTTCAATTATCTCAAAAATTGCGACCTGCAGAGTGCGCACAAGGTTTACATGGACACACAGACAGACAGACGGACGGACAGACGGACATAGCTTAATCGAATCAGGAAGTGATTCTGAGCCGATTGGTATACTTTAAGGTGGGTGTTACAAACATCAGCACAAACGCATAATACCCTCCCCACTATAGTGGTGTAGGGTATAAAAATTATTTTTGAAATCAAAATTAAGACTAAGACAATCAAGACTATAAAACTATTCGTAGTCTAAACAATCGACTACAGAGTGATCTATACGTAAGACTATAGAGTGATCGATAGTCAAACGCATAATACCCTCCCCACTATAGTGGTGTAGGGTATACAAATTATTTTTGAAATCAAAATAAAGACTAAGACAATCAAGACTATAAAACTATCTAAACAATCGACTACAGACTGCTTTATACTTAAGACTACAGACTGATATATAGTCAAGACTACAGTGTGATCTTTACATTAAACTACAGACGGATCCATATGATGATCTATACATTACACTACAGCCTGATATATAGCCAAGCCATAGACTAATATATAGATAATTTACAATTGATATTTTAGTCCTAGTTCAGTTCTAGCTCAGATCCAAACCAGTTCTAGATTAGTACTAATTCAGTTCTTGTTGACTGCAAACTGATCTAAATTTTGTTTTAAATCTGTTCCAGTTCTGTTTTAGTTCTGTTCTAGTTCTGTTTTATTTCTGTTCTAGTTCCGTTCTAGTTCTGTTCTAGTTCCGTTCTAGTTCTGTTCTGGTTCTGTTCTAGTTCTGTTCTAGTTCTGTTCTAGTTCTGTTCTAGTTCTGTTCTAGTTCTGTTCTAGTTCTGTTCTAGTTCTGTTCTAGTTCTGTTCTAGTTCTGTTCTAGTTCTGTTCTAGTTCTGTTCTAGTTCTGTTCTAGTTCTGTTCTAGTTCTGTTCTAGTTCTGTTCTAGTTCTGTTCTAGTTCTGTTCTAGTTCTGTTCTAGTTCTGTTCTAGTTCTGTTCTAGTTCTGTTCTAGTTCTGTTCTAGTTCTGTTCTAGTTCTGTTCTAGTTCTGTTCTAGTTCTGTTCTAGTTCTGTTCTAGTTCTGTTCTAGTTCTGTTCTAGTTCTGTTCTAGTTCTGTTCTAGTTCTGTTCTAGTTCTGTTCTAGTTCTGTTCTAGTTCGTTCTAGTTCTGTTCTAGTTCTGTTCTAGTTCTGTCTAGTTCTGTTCTAGTTCTGTTCTAGTTCTGTTCTAGTTCTGTTCTAGTTCTGTTCTAGTTCTGTTCTAGTTCTGTTCTAGTTCTGTCTAGTTCTGTTCTAGTTCTGTTCTAGTTCTGTTCTAGTTCTGTTCTAGTTCTGTTCTAGTTCTGTTCTAGTTCTGTTCTAGTTCTGTTCTAGTTCTAGTTCTGTTCTAGTTCTGTTCTAGTTCTGTTCTAGTTCTGTTCTAGTTCTGTTCTAGTTCTGTTCTAGTTCTGTTCTAGTTCTGTTCTATTCTAGTTCTGTTCTAGTTCTGTTCTAGTTCTGTTCTAGTTCTGTTCTAGTTCTGTTCTAGTTCTGTTCTAGTTCTGTTCTAGTTCCGTTCTATTTCTGTTCTAGTTCTGTTCTAGTTCTGTTCTAGTTCTGTTCTAGTTCTGTTCTAGTTCTGTTCTAGTTCTGTTCTAGTTCTGTTCTAGTTCTGTTCTAGTTCTGTTCTAGTTCTGTTCTAGTTCTGTTCTAGTTCTGTTCTAGTTCTGTTCTAGTTCTGTTCTAGTTCTGTTCTAGTTCTGTTCTAGTTCTGTTCTAGTTCTGTTCTAGTTCTGTTCTAGTTCTGTTCTAGTTCTGTTCTAGTTCTGTTCTAGTTCTAGTTCTGTTCTAGTTCTGTTCTAGTTCTGTTCTAGTTCTGTTCTAGTTCTGTTCTAGTTCTGTTCTAGTTCTGTTCTAGTTCTGTTCTAGTTCTGTTCTAGTTCTGTTCTAGTTCTGTTCTAGTTCTGTTCTAGTTCTGTTCTAGTTCTGTTCTAGTTCTGTTCTAGTTCTGTTCTAGTTCTGTTCTAGTTCTGTTCTAGTTCTGTTCTAGTTCTGTTCTAGTTCTGTTCTAGTTCTGTTCTAGTTCTGTTCTAGTTCTGTTCTAGTTCTGTTCTAGTTCTGTTCTAGTTCTGTTCTAGTTCTGTTCTAGTTCTGTTCTAGTTCTGTTCTAGTTCTGTTCTAGTTCTGTTCTAGTTCTGTTCTAGTTCTGTTCTAGTTCTGTTCTAGTTCTGTTCTAGTTCTGTTCTAGTTCTGTTCTAGTTCTGTTCTAGTTCTGTTCTAGTTCTGTTCTAGTTCTGTTCTAGTTCTGTTCTAGTTCTGTTCTAGTTCTGTTCTAGTTCTGTTCTAGTTCTGTTCTAGTTCTGTTCTAGTTCTGTTCTAGTTCTGTTCTAGTTCTGTTCTAGTTCTGTTCTAGTTCTGTTCTAGTTCTGTTCTAGTTCTGTTCTAGTTCTGTTCTAGTTCTGTTCTAGTTCTGTTCTAGATCTGTTCTAGTGCTGTTCTAGTTCTGTTCTAGTTCCGTTTTAGTTCTGTTCTAGTTCTGTTCTAGTTCTGTTCTAGTTCTGTTCTAGTTCTGTTCTAGTTCTGTTCTAGTTCTGTTCTAGTTCTGTTCTAGTTCTGTTCTAGTTCTGTTCTAGTTCTGTTCTAGTTCTGTTCTAGTTCTGTTCTAGTTCTGTTCTAGTTCTGTTCTAGTTCTGTTCTAGTTCTGTTCTAGTTCTGTTCTAGTTCTGTTCTAGTTCTGTTCTAGTTCTGTTCTAGTTCTGTTCTAGTTCTGTTCTAGTTCTAGTTCTGTTCTAGTTCTGTTCTAGTTCTGATCTAGTTCTGGTTCTAGTTCTGTTCTAGTTCTGTTCTAGTTCTGTTCTAGTTCTTTTCTAGTTCTGTTCTGTTTGCGTTTCGTTATAAAGCAATTCCCTGTGCTGTGTTTAACATCATCACAATTTTATCTCCTTAAAATAACATTACTACACAGTTTATTTCTGTATTTTATTCCTTACAACTTCATCCATTTATTCATCACTTGTTTTCATCAATAAAAATTTCGCTTAATACCAGCAATACACAGACATAACTCTAACAATAAAATGTAAAACAATTTCCCTTTAAAATCTATAGAGGAAACGAAAGAAGAAAAAAGATGAAAATTGAAATGAAAAGCG